ACCCTGCCTACCTGCCTATCTGCCTCTCTGTCCCTCTGTTTTTCCATGTGCCTACCTGCTTGCCTGTCTGCTTACCTACGCGTCTTTCAGGCCGTTTGCCTTCCTCCTTTAGAGTCTTCTTTTCCATCTGTCTGTCTGTCTGTCTCCCTCTCTGTTTGTTTCTGCCTGTCTGTTCGTTCATCTGCCTTTCCGTCTGTCTGCCAGTGTGTCTGCCTGTCATTCAGCCTGTTTGTCTGTCTATGAGCCTGTCTTTTTGTCTGTATGTTTGTTTGTCTGTATGTTTATCTGTCTGTCCGCCTGTCCGTCTGTCTGTCTGTCTGCCTGTCTTTGTGTCTGTCTGTGTGTCTGCCTGTCATTATGCCTGCCTGTCTTTGTACCTGTCTGCCTTTAAGTCTACCAGTCATTCTGCTTGTCTGTCTGCTTTTCTGTCTGTATGCCTGTCTGTTTGTCTGTATGTTTATCTGTCTGTCCGCCTGTCTGTCTGTCTGTCTGCCTGTCTGTATGTTTATCTGTCTGCCCGCCTGTCTGTCTCAGTGTCCGCCTGTGTGTCTGCCTGTCATCATACCTGTCTGTCTGTTTGTCTGTCTGTCTGCCTGTCTGTTTGTCTTTTTGCTTGTTTTTCTCTCTGTCCTCTATTTTCCTTTCTTTGCTGGAACCCTGTAAACGTCCATCCATTCTCTACGAAATCAATTCCACAAGGTAAATTAGTATGAATTATACGTTAAGTGTAACTTTAATCTCTTGATATAGTTGATATTTGAGGCAGTTGTAGGGGATGGTTTCCTTGGAGATATCGCCCTTGATGACGTAAATCTGTCAACGATTGCTTGTGATCACTCCCCAGACTACGCAAAAAGTTACTCTCAAGGTACGCAAAAAAATTGCCATTAATTAAATTGCAATTTTACTTTTAAAGAATACGAATTTAATGCATTGTTAAAATATAAAAATATGTTGAACTTAGCTTCAACTTTGGAAAAGTCGGCGATCATTGGTCACCTTTCCAGCTTCAAGTCTTCACTGTTGGGAAAACTTCGCACAGCTCATGGCAAGAATAACTCCTGGGTGCCTTGCTACCGCGCACTTCTCGATGGCAGAGACATCGAAAGTTTTTACTCCAATTGCGGCGAAGAAAAAGAAACGGTTACAATAGTGCGTGTAAACAACTACATCTTTGGTGGATACACTGATGTTGGCTGGAGCGAGGTTCGAGGTTAGTTAAATAATTGATAACAATTACATGATACACCAATTACTAACTAATTGACCATAAGAGGGGGGCATCGGAAACTTTTTAATTTTGTGTTTTTGGTTTTTTTTCTAGATCAGTTTTTCGGTTTTTGTGCAAAAAAAACTTTGGTTTTTCGGTCTTATTGTTCATTGCGGTTTGCGGATTTTCCGTTTTTAGCATTTGGTTTTCGTCAAAAATACTTGTCATCCGATGTGGTTTTCGGTTTTTCCTATCTGGGTTTCGCTTTCTCTTCCATCTGAGCGGCAGTTTTGCGCCTCCACTGATCTCGAATAACCACGAAACTTCTGTACGTTCCACTTGGCACCACTGTGTTGGATCCCTTAGGGTTTTGATACCTGGATATGGGAAAATTTATCTCATGTTTTTGACAGTTTTGCTTACGAATTCCGGTTTTGATCGAATATTTTGCGGTTTCGTGGTTTTGGATGATCTTTTCTACAGTTTTGCAGTTTCTAATAGATCCCAGTGCCCCTTCCACCCCCCCCCCTCCAATGAGTACCAGATGTATCTATGATAAACATAAAACCCAGGACCGGGTTGTATAAAGATGGGTTAAGATAACCCACAGTTAGTGTGAAATTTGATCTCGGATCTGAAAGCTTTAAAAGAATATTCAGTTTAATTCCATTTGTCTACAATTTGATGATTAAATGCACTTAAAAGAATTGCAAAAGTTATCCCAAAACAGCTTTTCAACAGAGAAATATAGAAACCCGGATTAAAATTTAACCCTGGGTTAGCGCCAATCCTTCTTTTAACAACTGGGCCCAGGTTTCTGTTGGTTTCGATCCGTCCACCCACCTATTTTCCTATGAAATCTACTTAATATCAACTTGCCTGCCCATCTACCTCTACCCACCTTCCTTTCCCTTAAATGATCTTTTGTATTCTATTTGCACAGCCTGTTGCCAAGCTACATAGGTACCTACCTAAAATATAACCCATTACAGTCGATCCTTTTTCCTTATTTACCAACGCACCTTACGACCCACAATCATTTGCGAACAGTACTTTGCTCACATACCAAAATTACACCTTCCGACGAATTCCTTTAACTCCTTACTTCCTATAGCAAAACAATTCTTTCTTTTCTTTCATTTAATTCGCAGAGAAAGGGGTCGCTGTTAGCAAAAGTGCGTTTCTATTCGGCTTCAAGAACAACGATCCCGAAGGTATCGAAATATTTCCTCTTAGAAACGACAAAAGACACCAAGCACAACGCGTGAAGCCACATGAAGGACCAACATTTGGTGATGGTGATCTTTCATTGAAGACGATGTCAGTTGGCTCTAGTCAAACTGGAAATTCATTTGAAAACTGGCATGGCTTGTCTCTGTTTGCAGACGCAGATGACTTCAACATTTCTGACATTGAAGTATTATATCCTAAAGGTAACTTTAGAAAAATAATAAATAATTACTCACATGCGTTTTAAAGATACAATGAGATAAATTACTTTCAATATTTCGTTACTAGATACTGCTCGCGCCCTACTTCCAAATTTAACCAGGAACCAAGTACTGAAATACTTCGTTCTAACGAAGGACTAATGCTCTATACCTCACCTTTTGAAACTCTTTATGGAGGTCAATTTACATTTATGAACTCGGTTAATAAAACCAGATTATCTTGCTACATACTGGGAATGAGATAAACTTTTTTAGTGGCTACTAAGATGTATCTGTATTGCAAAAATGCTCTGAGCTGGTATCCTTTAAGGCGGTTAACTGATATTTTCCGAGAGTACCTGCTAAATAGAGATTTGACGGCATATTATCTGAAAACCAGACAGTTTGTGCAAAGAGCCATGCAACCATTATGAGGGACACTGTGATGAAATTACTACCAGGTGTGTTTGTGATTGGACAGAGCGCAATGTGGAATGGTGTTTGGAAGGTGAGTAATTATTTTGTAGAATACAACATACCATTTCATCGTTGCTAATTTATTCACTTCAGTCTTCCGCTGACATTCATTGAATTTTATTAACACTCAAACCTATAATATAATTTTCGAAATGATTGGTTTAAAGCTGCAGCCATTTACGCGCGCCGTTATATAGACTATCGAGCTCTGATTTCCGCGTTGCGTGCTTGGTTTTCAAGCTTTGAACGGGACTGAGGCTCATGGTGACCTTGTTATGATACAAACGTTGGTGCTTTTCAAATGTAAATCACTTTGTTATCATGCTAACTAGATCCAGGTCTCTATCACAACACGGTCACCTTCAGCCTCACTCCACATCAAAGGCTTAGCAACTAAGTACACAACTGTAAAATGGCCTACTGAGAAATAGCTTGTCTTTGAACAGGTGATCCAAAAAAGATAATCAATCTTTACGACGATGCCGCGTCCTACTGGCCTCTGGACTCAGTCGAAGATCTAAAGGACCGAGCAAGACTGGGTTGGGGACAGGCGCACGGTGCGGTGAGTCTGGTTGCTAAGGGCCTTAGTGGCCAGGCCATACAGTTAGACGGTGCGAGTGGGTGGGTCGACCTCGGAGATCTGGGCACTCTTTATCAGGTGCAGATGTGTACGGAGGATTTTAGTATTTCTATGTGGATGAAGTATTATTCCAAGGGGAATGGTGAAGATCAGACCTTTTTACACTTCGGTGAGTTAAAGATGGTACTATTTCTTAAAAGTTTCTAGTACTTTTGTTTTTCGTTGTTTTGTAAGAATCAATACTAAAGTACACTGTATCTAAAATTGTATTGGTTAAAATTAGTATCAGGTCCCTAGTAGACACGATCTTGTTTTGCAAATGATAACAATAATTGTCGCACGTGCACATTTATTTGCACACTGATTGTTCTTCTCACCAATTTTTTTTCCAGCAATTATATTTTATTTACCGTCGCTGCTGTTTTGTGCAGGTCCCTGAGGGTCACGTTCACCTAACGATGTATCTCGTTATTTTCCCTCTAGATAACGGGCTTACAGTGGCAGAATTATTTTACGAAGCAACTTCAAAGCTAGTCGGAGTCTCTCTTTCCACAAGCTCTTTGAAGTTTTGTTACAGATTTCCAGTTGCAAAGGGATTTTGGACACATCTTGGTTTCTCTTGGAAGAATGACAGCAAATCTCTTATCATCCAAAAGTAAGTCTTTTCCTTGTGCAGATTTAAGAATAGACTGAGTAATGTAATTTAGATGGGATTGTCCCAGAATGCTACATGCCTAGGGATATCAGAACTATCAGGGGCGTAGCCAGGATTTTTCAAAGGGGGGTCACAGAGGCTACTCACCATTTACACCGCTGCTCTCCCGCGTGTATCAGCTGGCTCAGTCATATTATCGCGGCATGAAGGCCCATATCAATGGCTTTTACGGCCAAGATATTGTCATGGCATTTTCGCCACCTGAATATTGTAGGTTGTTTGCTCTAAAGAAAACCTACCAAGGGGGGATCACGGGCACCCCAGGACACCCCTGGCTACGCCCTTGACTATAACAAGTCTCAGCATCTTTAAATGTAAACTCTTTGAATTTTTATTACAAGAGGATCACGATCAACATAAATGCTCTGTGGCTTAACTGACTAGTTGAATTTCTTTTTTTTTATTAATTAATACGATGTTCATAGAAAATATGTTGTATATACCTTAAGAACTATGTTATAATTTATTTATTCTTATAATTTCTTATTTTTACTATTTTGTATCATGATATTTTTAGTCCTTTTTTATGTATTGATTATAATTTTATCACATACAGATTTTATACTATATATATGCACATGGGTTAATACCAAATAGTCTTTTTAGTCATCTGATCTATTATTTTGCATTTCAAATTGACCACTTTCAATAATGGCTGCCGGATTAATATTCTTTTCTTTAAATTTAAATTAGCCTTTCTGGCCTCACTTGAGATAATGTATTCTTTTGAATTTTGTACAGGAGAACGAGGCCAGAAAGGCTAATTTTTATTTAAACAAAAGAATATTAATCCGGCAGCCATTTATGAAAGTGGTCTATAAAGCTTATTATTACATAGTTAGATAGGCAAAGAATACATAGCAAGGAAACCATGTAGCGATTTAATTTTACACAAACCCTTTACAATGTCCAAGTTTCCTTGTTTAGTCACCTACAGTTGGCAAGTTTTTCTCTATAATTAAAGTTTCCTTGTTCATGGACAGACAAGTGAGGTCTTAAACAAAGAGTCCTTTGAAGGAAGGCGCTGCCAAAAGTTGTCATGGGAAATGTTGTAAAAGAAAAATGGCAAGTGTACTTAAGGCGTAATGTTCATATTTATATTAACCAGCAAATTGTCGTTAACCATCAGGAATGGGGAAACTTTACGAGACATCCATTGGCAAATGTGTCATTCATGCAGTACTCCATTCGCAAATCTTTGGTCGCTCACGCTTGGTGCTGGATGTTTTCCCAATGCCTCGTTTGACGAGATTGCAGTTTGGACAATTTCTCTTGGAAAAAACAGATTTTCGGAAATTTACAACACGTATCGAGGTATCTAAGGGATATATCGATTTTTATTTAAAAAAAGTTAAAATGCTGGAAGGTCTCAATGGGATACATCGGATACATTAAAAAAAGATTCAAAAGTTTTTCTATGTTAAATTTGTAAAAGGTCAACTAGACGATCAACGTATGTATTTTCGTAGCATTTCGATGGGATCTTGATTTACAACCATACACATGTCAAACTCGTTAGTTTTCGAATCTAATAGTATTTCTTATCATGATGTAGTGTCATCGTTTGATCTTCTTTTGGTATTTGTGATACTTAAATAATCTTATGTACCGATC